TTCAAATACTGGATGTACCACTCTGAGAAATTTACATGTGATTTACTTTGGTCAGGTAAGTGTCGTGTTCCGATGCGGCATGGAAACTTAAGGAATGACTGGAATCGTTTCTGAACAGAAGCGTCCTCGGCAGACATGGATCTCAGAAATAATGTTAGTCCAAGTAAGACAGAGTGGTTTAACATGAATGCTTTATCCTCTAAACTTACGAACATCTCATTTAAGAGCCGAAAGATAGCGTGTGTCAACCGGGACTTCAGTGAGCATCGGAGATGTACAAAAATTGACAGATTTGCGTACGGAGAGGAACTGTTCCGTTGTCCGCTGCTGTTTTCCTTATAACGACAGCTGTTAAAAGGTTTCGGAATGCGGTAGGTATGAAAGTCCACAAAAATTTCACTTATGCGAGCGATTCGTGATGCTTATCTCAAAAGACACAACAAAGACAAAAATTATCTGCCTTTTAACAGCTGCGTTAAACCAATACAATATGTCAGTACAAGAATGAAGTTAAAATTGTACGCATGGATGCGAAGCAAGCTGCGCCGCTAATCAGTGGTTCCTATGCTATCAATATCAGTCTTTCTTCATGCTAGGATACCATCATTCTATCAGAATGTGTCCACATTTGCATGCAATTAAACACCGAATATGCTGCATCCGACCTGACAGTTATGCAATGGATCATATGCAGCGTTCCATTAAGAATTTTTCTAGTAGCGGCAGTGCAAAGATTACAAATACCGAGTGCCTGATTCTAAAAATTTAGGCACGAGTGCTAGCGTCATACAGGCGATGTCAAAACTTCAGATAACAGATTTTAGCTAAATCCGCTGCAAAACTTGGTTGTTCCCTTAATAGATATGCTCGATGGAGTGTGCAAATGTAAGCCCCCCTACAGAATAGAATGAACAATCCTGTCGTAGTGTATTGGCATTGTAATTTGTGGATGTTTAGCTAATCTAATCAATTAGTTGTCATTATTGATACTACTAGTAATCATCACGAATGAGCTTCATAGTCCTAGTTTGTTTACTGCTTGCAAAACCGCTGAGTCATTCAGCTAAGTGGTCGTTGTTCTACAGTTTGTCATCGCTTTTGTTTTTGATGATGGCGATAACTGAACCAACAAACTTGAATGCATCCTTGATATTACTAAAGTGTGAGCAAGCGCATGCTTCCGAATCAGAGAGCGTCGTTCATTTCCACGGAGGAAAGCTCATTGGCCACCCGGTTGAACAGTGGCAGTCGCATCTCTTTTACTGGCTGTTTATGATCAACAGTTAGCATTTCATAGCGATCCACTAGAACCTCGTTGTTTCGAGGTTTACGAAAAGCTTTCAAGACTACCCCAGGGACTGCAGGGGAACAAGCCCAACCCCATTTTACCCTGCCCGGCTATCCTCTACTCTGATCGTTGTCCACTACCTGCTATTGACCATCGCTTATTTCGAACATATGCGTCTTACGCACTTTCAAATAACAACATTCTTGTATAGCTTCAAAACAGCAACGACAATTACATGATACGTCAAAAGAATAAAAATTGATGCGACAACAGAATTAAAATATCATGGAATGCAAACAAATGGAGCAAAAATCTGACCAAACTGGTAAAACAATAAATAATGCAACTATCGAGATTTTCTCTTTGCTCTTCCAAAAGTGTAACCCTCAGTCGACACGAATTTCTGCAGCGTTATACAATCTG